GCAACTGAGTAAGGTTCAGAATTAATTCCAGTTGAATATATTGTTTGATTCGTAAAAGATCCATTCCCATAACCGAGAAATACACTAATATTGCTATCATTAATATTACTGACAATAATATCTAATCGACTATCGTTATTTAAATCAGCAACAGCTAAAGACCATGCACCAGAGCCAGTTGCAAAGGTTGTTTGATTTAAAAAAGAACTATTGCCAAATCCAAGGAAAATACCAATATTATTAGTGCCTGAATTCGCGACAGCAATATCCATAAAAGTATCATTGTTAAAATCGCCAACAATTAATGATCGCGGAACAGACCTCTTACCAGTTATCAGTGTCATTTGGTATTGAAAGTTCTGATTTAAGTAACCAAGATATATACTTATAGTGTTGCTACCATGATTAGCTGCCACAATATCGAGCCGAGTATCATTGTTAAAATCACCAACAGCTACAGAATATGGAAAAATGCCAGTTGAATACAACGTTTGATTTGCAAAAGAACCATTGCCATATCCGAGAAGTACACTTACAGTATTGTCCCCTCGGTTGGCTACAACGATATCCAGTCGAGTGTCATTGTTGAAATCATCAATAGCTACAGAATGTGGTGAATTGCCAGTTAAATATTTCATTTGATTTGTAAAAGAACCATTGCCATATCCGAGAAGTACACTTACAGTGTTTTCACCAGAATTAGGAACGATGATATCCAGTCGAGTGTCATTGTTGAAATCATCAACAGCTACAGAAAATGGTGCAAAGCCAGTTGAATATTTTATTTGATTTGCAAAAGAACCATTGGCATATCCGAGAAGTACACTTACAGTGTTGTCACCAAAGTTAGCAACGATGATATCCAGTCGAGTGTCATTGTTGAAATCACTAACAGCTACAGAAAATGGTGCAAAGCCAGTTGAATATTTTATTTGATTTGCAAAAGAACCATTGCCATATCCGAGAAGTACACTTACAGTGTTGTCACCAAAGTTAGCAACGACAATATCCAATCGAGTGTCGTTGTTGAAATCACCAACAGCTACAGAAACTGTTGCAAAGTCAGTTGAATATTTCATTTGATTTGCAAAAGAACCATTGCCATATCCGAGAAGTATACTTACAGTGTTATCACCATAGTTAGCAACGACGATATCCAGTAGAGTGTCGTTATTGAAATCACCAACAGCTACAGAAATTGGATAAGAGCCAGTTGAATATGTGGTTTGATTTGTAAAAGAACCATTGCCATATCCGAAAAGTACACTTACAGTGTTTTCACCAGAATTAGCAACGACGATATCTAGTCGAGTGTCGTTGTTGAAATCACCAACAACTACAGGATGCGGAGAACTGCCAGTCGAATACGTTAGTTGATTTCTAAAAGCGCCAGTATCAAATGTAACAAATATATCTATATTATCAGTATTGCCATATGCGACAATAATCGAAGCTATTCGTATATTACGAATTTAATGAGATAAAGAGTCAAATGACGGAATGCTTCGGTTTTATGAACAGACGAAGAGAATTTAGCATGATGAAGTATATGTGGGATTAAGAAAAACATTGAACGTGTCATCACCTATGTGATATCATTCGGACATATCACTCATACGTGATATTGTTCTTGCGTAATATTCTTTATATAGAAAGGTCCCTGGCTTCCATATTCTCAATATATCCCCTTCTTCTTCACTATGTTTAATTGACACTTGCTCTTTTTTCTTTTCTTTTTTTGTGTTCAACTATATATAAAAAAAATTCTGTATTGTATGAACACAACTGGATAATTTAGTAGTGTAGTTAACATGATATACACTGAGGAAACCGGTAACATTGTTCATCCAATCTTTCATTGTAATGACAAGAAAAAAGAAATAAGTGCTGCTGCAATAACAAATTATTCTATCCATTTTCTATTAAATTCATTACCTTATAATTCCGTAAAAATCCAGTATTGTGTTTAAAAAGTATCCAAACAGACAAGTATTTCGAAAGACGCATTTAAATGCTGCTATCAGGAACTGCGGTTGTGACCCATTCACGCTTCAAAATAAAACGCTACTTTTTCGATAAAATAATTTTGATAAAGTACTATGACTCATGAGGAGTAGAACATTAACCTCGCTTCAAAAACGAAAGTAGAATTTAAAAGAAATTAAAGTTAAAGTGGAGTTTTTTTCATCAAGGAAGATCTATTTCATGACAATAATGACTTTTTATAAGAGTGGATGAAAACTTTTCGAGAATAAGAAATTGTGATTTCTATGTGGTTTCTCAAAGTTTTGAGTCTGACTTTTTCTTCGAGAAGTTTTTCTAATAAAAACAAAGATTCCGTTTTTTATGAAACTTGACTAAATATATTAAAATTTGAGGTTGTCGAATCTGGTAAACGAATTGTCAATTTGAATTCTTCAGCTGCAAAAACCTTCAGTCAAGTTTTATGAAAAACGATTATTCTCATAAAATAGATCTTCTTTGACAAAAAAGTTTCTTTTAGCTTTGAATATTTAAAGTGACACTTTAATTTTAATTGTTTTATTAAAGCGTCATACTACGCTAACAATAAATACAATCATAAGTGATAATCGTTCTTCAAGTAATTCGATATCTCTCATTTGATAAAGTACAGAGTTATTTTTAGAATGATATCACGAAAAGATAAAAAGATTACATCAATTTTTCTGCGATTTCCGAAATTTGACAGAATGTATTTAGAAGATATTCTTCTGCTTATAAGCTTACTGTTATAACTATAATAAATAGTTATAATTGTCATGCAAATTTCTAAGCAGCTCGTTAAAAAAGATTCCATTTGAAACATGACAAACACTTTTAGTTAAAAATTTCAATCGACTCTATAATAATGTGTCATATATTTAACTTAGTATGGAATAGTGAATGAAAAAGAATGTTCATCAATTCAAAGGAATGTTTATCTGAATTGATCTTGCCGTATTCTCTTAGTAGAAATCAGCAAACAATTATGATTTCTGACTCTGAAACTTTGTATTAGTATTATTGGAATAGACAGTAATATTGATAATCTTGTTTAACATATCAGCAATACTGTGATTTATATTACATCTAAAAAAGCAAAGTCTCTCTTTAAAACATTATCATCTATTCATTTCGAGGCTCTCCACATTTTGGATCTCGAATTGCATTTGGCGACTTTGTTTTTACAAAACAAAAATCAGAATAGTATGAAATTAACTAATATTTTCTACTTTAAAACTTTTTAGGTACATACTTTGTTAACAGATAACTGCTGAATATGATTAAAAAAAACTGTAATTATGTCAAGAAAGATTTTTACCTCGTGATAGATTATTATAGAAGGATACTTGTTAAATTAAGTTTAAATCGGATGATATAATATTCATATAGATCCATTTCTGACTGTCCATCATTGTTGAAATCACCAGTAGTAACAGCTACAGGAGCGAAAATCAAGCTAGATCCATAAGTTACTTGACGTGTAAATGTTCCCTTTCCATTTCCAACAAGCATATCAATGGTTTTAGAACCATAATTGGCTACTGCAAAATCATGTTGACCATCATTATTGAAATCACCTATGGCAAGCGAATATGGATTTGAGCCTGTTGGAAACGTTTTCTGCTCTAAAAATGATTCATTGCCATTTCCAAGAAGTACACCTATATCATTAGTGCCATAATTAACGACGATTAAATCTAACATCGTATCATTGTTAAAATCAGCGACAGCAACATATCGCAGACGAGAACCACCACCAGGTGCAAAACTTATTTCGTTACCTAAAGATCCTTTGCTATAATGAAGCAGTAGACTTACAGTGCTGTCACCAGAGTTAGCAACGACGATATCTAGTCGAGTGTCATTGTTGAAATCACCAACAGCTAAAGGGAATGGATTAATGCCAGTTGAATATTCAACTTTGTTTGCAAAAGAACCATTGCCATATCCGAGAAGTACACTTACAGTGTTGTCACCAAAGTTAGCAACGATGATATCCAGTCGAGTGTCATTGTTGAAATCACCAACAACTACAGAAAATAGGTTAGGGTTAGTGGGATACGTAGTTTGATTTGCAAAAGAACCATTGCCATATCCGAGAAGTACACTTAAAGTGTTGTCACCAGGATTAGCAACGACGATATCCAATCGAGTGTCATTGTTGAAATCACCAACAGCTACAGAAACTGGCTGAGAGCCAGTTGAATATGTAGTTTGATTTGCAAAAGAACCATTGCCATATCCGAGAAGTACACTTACGGTGTTGTCACCCTGATTGGCAACAACGATATCCAGTCGAGTGTCATTGTTGAAATCACCAATAGCTACAGATTCTGGATGAGAGCCAGTTGAATATATAATTTGATTTACAAAAGAACCATTTCCATATCCGAGAAGTACACTTACAGTGTTGTTATCCGAATTAGCAACGACGATATCTAGTTGAGTGTCATTGTTGAAATCACCAACAGCAACAGAAGATGGTCCAGACCCAGTTGGATACGTGGTTTGAATTGCAAAAGAACCATTACCATATCCGAGAAGTACACTTGTAGTGTTGTCATTCCAGTTAGCAACAACGATATCCTGTCGAGCGTCATTGTTGAAATCACCAACAGCTACAGAATATGGCGAAATGCCAGTTGAATAGGTAGTTTGATTTGCAAAAGAACCATTACCATATCCGAGAAGTACACTTGTAGTGTTGTCATCGAAATTAATAACGACAATATCCAATCGAGTGTCATTGTTGAAATCACCAATAGCTACAGACCGTGGATTACTGCCAGTTGGATACGATTTTTGTGGTTCAAAGCCTTCATCATAACCAAAAAGAATGCGTATACTGCCAGTATCGTTGCTAATGATAATAACGTCAAGCAGATTGTCTTTGTTGAAATCAGCTACAGCAAGAGAGATTGAAGAAGAAGAGCCAGTTGAACTCATGGTTGCTTCAGAAAAACTGCCATTACCGAGTCCCAGTAACATTCCTATATTATTAGTACCTTGATTACTGATGACTAAATCAAGTCGATAGTCTTTGTTGAAGTCACCAAGACCAATAGAATATGGTGAAGAAGTATTAAGTGAGTATGTTGTTTGACTGGTAAAAGTGGCGTTGGTGTTGCCTAGAAATACACCGACATTGTTTGTTCCATGATTAGCGACAGCAATATCTAATAAACTGTCATCATTAAAATAGCCAACGATGAGCGAATATGGATGGGAATTAATTCCAGTTGAAAACACCTGCTGATGTAAATAGATTCTGTTACCACTTGCAAGAAATATACCTATATTATTTGTACCATAATTGGCAATAGCAAGATCTAATTGATTATCCTTGTTAAAATCTGCACTGATGACCGAGAATGGCGAAGAATCATAGCCGGTTGAAATTGTCATCGGATATGCAAAACGTCCATCTCCAGATCCATAAAATATGCTAATACTATCAGTTCCATAATTAGCTGTAACGATATCGAGTAATGTGTCATTATCGAGATCAACTAGATGTATCCAGATTGGACGAGATGAACCAGTTGAAATTACTGTTGTATTAGTAAAAGAACCGTTTCCGAATCCAAGAAATATACCGATGCTATTAGTACCGAAATATGCGACAGCAATATCCGTGTGATGATTGTTGTTAAAATCACCGATGGCTACCATGTATGGCGCAGAATGTAAACCGGTTGAGTAAATCATTTTACTTTCAAAAGCACCGTTATTATATCCAAGAAATACAGATATACTATCAACGACATTATTGGCGACAACAATATCTAATTGTTCATCATTGTTAAAATTGCCAACGGCAGCTGATCGAAGACCAAAATTATACTCAATCGGGTTTCGAGGAGTTGGTATAAATTTTAGTTCACACGATTGAACTAAATAAAAAAAAAGATAAATAACGTAAAACTTAATCACTTGTTATGTTCTAATTATTCTAATTGAATTTTTAGAATCTCATGTAGGTTTTGAGCACTCAAATATTAAGTAGATGGCATGTATACTTTTTCACTTTCTTCCATTTATTATAAGATTGTTTAAAAAAAACGCGTTGTTTTGAAGTAACAAGAAATGATATTAATGCCACAAACTATATGTTTAAGTTACGTTTCTTCTTAATCACATAATTTCTATTATACACTATTCTTAGCTGCAAATTCAATAAAATGATAAAAATTCTCAACTGTGGTGGATGAAATCAAATAAATAATAGTTCTATTGCGTGATGATAATGAACAACAACACACAGAATATAATAAGATGTTTATCAATTGACGTGAACTCTTATTCCTCAAAGAAATATACTAGTTATATCTATTATTTTATCATACTATTACTAAGCATAAATAAATAAAAATAAATTTATATTATATGTTTAATTGATATATGAAGAAAAATCAAAACGTACCTTTCGATTTTGGAGAAGTCAGACAAACAATTAATATACTTGTGACCATTGTTAGAATTGTGAAGAGAGCAAATGTACCCACAGCTGTTGCAGTTCGATGTCTTGACCAACATGAATGTTCCCTAATGAAAACATATTCTATATATATTATAATGTTTGCGATAAGAAAGAAATGATATA